ACCTTGGCCATGTGTTGGTACTCATAAAATATATCCCCACAGATGGCTTTCAAGGAGTCCTTGCAGGTTACATTTCTTGCTTGTCAACAACACAATCTATATGGATTTTGATTATAAAATGAAAATCTTCATTCCCATGTTTTGTTTGAGAGAATTCTCTTCTTTTCTTTATAATTCTGCTAATCTTCATAGTTGTAGAAGAGTTATGAGATTTTTTCTGTTTCAAATTTTGCTCTTCATGTTTCTCCGCTACATTAGCTATATTTGATCTCGAAAGATAAAATATTGTTAAAATTAGTGTAATTAATGAATATTAGTTATTTTAATCAGGTGTTGCTACAGGAACTGGCTGGCTACACATAAGGGCTTATATCAATCTTGGGGCATTCTACCTTTTTGGAACTCCTATTGCTGCCATATTGGGTTTTTACAATTAAGAGAAAAAGGCCTATGGATTAGAATACAAGCTGGTGTTCTTCTGCAAGCAATTATGTTCTCTTTGATAACAAGTTGTACAAATTGGGAAAAGGAGGCTAGTTCACTATCCCTCATAAAGCTAGTTAATTTGGTTAATTTGGTTTTATTAGAAAATGATTGATTACACACCTAAAAAAAAGTATTCTGAAAAATGTCAAGAAAATTAAATTTGTGGACTGGATTTATTATTAATGTGATGTGACGAATTCATATTCTTTGTAGTGCAATTTGTAGTACTTTAAAATAAAATAACGAAGTCAAAAATGACGTTGTTTTGGTGTCTTTACTCAAGTCCGAATGGAGACATCAAAACAATATCATTTTTAATTTTAAATTGCAACCCTTTGTGTTTCTTTGTTTTTGACATTGCTTATCGTCATTTAAGGTACTATAGATTGCACTACAGAGTATTTGAATTCGTAACCTATACTACAATAAATTTTAAACTATACCACACATATTTTTCTTGATAGTTTATATGCCTTTTTTGAACCTGTAGTTTTTCTGAGTCTAAAAATTCACTTAAATCTATCACTTGATCGAAAGGAAGATGGAAGAAAATATATTAATTATGGGGTCTTTCAATGTAGTTTCAAAATATTTTTCTTCCTTTCCTTTTCTTCTAACTAAAAAAATCACAATAGTAATTAGCCAAAGGCAAACCTAAAAACTCGTAAGATTTAGAAGTGCTTTTTAAATATTCTAAAATTTTAATAGATTCTTTTTTTGTGATTTTTTTTGTGATTTTTTTTTCCAGGCAACTAAAACGAGGGAAAGGGTGTTTGAGGAAAGAACTTCAGTAAATACGGTGAATGATGAATTAGTGTTTTTTTTTGGCCTCATCAGCTTTTTATTTTAGTCTTCACTTGCACATGATTGGACTTTTTTCGGCAATTTTTGGTAGCTCAAATACCAGGTTGGCTCGAATGGCTCGAAATTCACCTTACCAGTCATCCGGTCGGTCGTCTGGCGAGGAGGCTGATAGCCGCGGTCAACAAAAGTGACAACCGCAGTAGACGATCCTTCACCTAGTCGTCCGAACGGACGTCTGGCAGGTCATCCGGGCAGATGACCAGCCAAGAAGAGACTTGGGCAGCTATCCATGACTGTGATGGGAACAAGGCCCCTGGTCCAGGTGGTTTTAACTTAGCTTGCATCAAAAATGTTGGAAAATAATGAAAGGAGATATAATGCAAATGTTGCATGAGTTTCACACAAATGGTAAGTTGGCAAGGGGTGTCAACAGTTCATTTATGGTGCTCATTCCTAAGAAGGACAATCCCATAGGCTTGGGGGACTATAGACCTATCAGCTTGGTCACTTCAGTGTACAAGATTTTGGCCAAGGTGCTATCTAGAAGAATAAAAAAAGGTTCTTTCCTCTATCATAAATGAAGTGCAGTCAGCTTTTGTGAGTGACGGGTATATCTTAGATAGGGTGCTAATAGCAAATGAAGTTGTAGATTGGTGGAAAAACTCTAAGAAAAAAGGCATTATCCTAAAATTGGACTTTGAGAAAGCCTACGATTCAATAAATTGGGAATTCTTGTTAGCAATGATGAGAAATTTTGGATTTGGTGACAATTGGATTAGGTGGATGAAGGTTTGCATTTCTACAACCATGGTGTTAGTATTGGTTAATGGTGCACCCACTGAGGAATTTCAGCCACAAAAGGGGTTAAGGTAAGGAGATTCTCTCTCTCCGTTTTTGTTCATTATAGCAACAGAAGGTCTTAACCTGTTATTGGCTAGGGCTAAAGTGTAGGGTGTATTTAGAGGTGCTACATCTGGTTCTAATGATGTGGGAATCTCACATCTCCAATTTGCAGATGACACTATCATATTCTGTGAAGGTGATAATGAGGATATTCTAAATATCAAGAGGGTGTTGAGGTGCTTTGAGGTGATGTCTGGGTTAAAAATCAATTATCATTAAAGTGTAGTTTGTGGGTGGGCTTCCAAGATGACCAAACTAAGGATTTTGCTAAGATTTTGAACTGCTTGACTAAGAAACTGCCATTTAATCTCTTAGGTCTACCTTTAGGGGCCAATCCTAGGAGGCAGAGCACATGGAACCTAGTAGTCGATAAGGTGAACAAGAAGTTGTCTTCTTGGAAGAGGAAATTGTTATCTTATGCTGGAAGACTGACTTTGATCAAATCAATCCTCACAAACTTGCCAATCTATTTCCTTTCTCTTTTTACAATGCCTACAGGTGTTGTTCAGACTTTAGTCAAGCTACAGTTATCTTTTTTGTGGAAAGGGAATGATAAGAAAAGGAAAGTGCACTTGGTTAAATGGAGGAAGGTCACCAAAAGCAAAGGTATGCTTGTTATTAAAATAGTGGTGGAGATATGGTAATGAAGATACAACTCTGTGGAAATCTGTGGTTTGCTCGAGGCACGGTAGGACTGGTGGGGGTTGGGCTCCAGCTATGAGTCTTTCAGGTGTGGTATCCACGGTTTGGCAGGAAATTATGCAGCTTCTTTCAGTAAACCAACACTTGGGTGAGTTCTATGGTGGCCATTTTAGAATTAAGGTTGGTAATGGGAGGAGAATTCAATTATGGTATGATGCCTGGCTCAACAACAGAGGTTTGCAGGATCAATTTCCCAGATTATACATCTTATCCACTGAGAAAGAGGAGACTTTACAGCAAATCAGTGCCAAGAAAAGTAACTCAGGGGTGTGGCAGCTTAGCTTTAGAAAACAATTGTTAGCTTGGGAAGAAGAGGAGTTGTAGAGGCTGATGGGTTTGTTGGTCACATCTCCTTTGGTTAGTTCTGATCTTGTAGATTCTTGCTCTTGGCTAGCTGATAGTTCAAGACAATTTTCAGTCTCATCTGTAGGGATGTGGTGGGATACAGCAAAAGGGCCTAGTCTGGTTGTACCTAAACGGGTGTGGGATTGTTTAGCTTCACCAAAAGTGCAGTTCTTTTACTGGTTGGCTTAGAGAGGTAGACTTAAGACTTCAACCTTCCTACAAAGGATTGGGGTGTTAGATGCCTCAGTAAACATTTTGTGTGTCTTTTGCCAAATTGAGGTGGAGACTTTGGATCATGTGCTTTTGTTTTGTCCACCTATTTGGGAGTGCTGGCCTCAAATGGTAAAGTTGTGGGATCAGGTTTGAGCAATCCCTGGATCAGTCGAGGGCTTACTGCATTAGTGGTCTGCTGGCAAGCAAAAGCATTGGGTTTCCAGAATATGGAAGATAGTCCCCTCGGTTGTGTTATGGTCTGTTTGGAGATTGTGAAATGATTGTCTTTTCAAAGGGACATAACCTATTTTTAATGACTTTTGTGAAAAAATGAAGGTACAGATTGCTTTGTGGGTAAAATGGAACTTAGAGGTTGATTATACAGTTCATGATATCGTCTCTAACCTCCATCAGATTAGGATGTCTGCTAGAGGTTCCCTGTGATTCTGGTTTTGGCAATGGTGGGTTTTGTTTAGGCTTGGCAGCAAGGGTTGCTTTGGTGTTTTTCTGTCTTTGTTTGTTTTGTTGGTTCCTCACCAACGTTCAAGGTGTGCGCTAGCAAATGATAGGGTTCCTCTCTCGGTGCCAACCTAATTGGGATTGAGTTGGTGTTCCATGATGTTCTTTGCACTCCCTCCCCCTTTATTGATATATCTCCATACTTTGTATGCTCATTTCCATCAATAAAGTTTTCTTTTTCTGATAATAAAAAAAAAAAAAAGTTTACATAAGACCCATGGTGGACTTATGAAAGGTCGTGGCTTCCCTCTTATTGAAAGCATTTGCATTTTACTTTTTTTTGATAAATTATTTAATAATGCCACATGGCTATCATATTTACTATAAATGAGCTGATGTTGCATCCTAATTGGAAAAACCACATTCATTAATAATGACCTCACCACTCGCTAATCAATAATATTAGAAATATTAATTAGTATACAAATAAATGCATAAATACAAGACATGCTTGTGAAATTTACAACTTAATATGGAACGCACTTACAGTAATGCTATGAATCCAAACTTAAATATTTATAAATTATCATCCTGTAAATTAGATTTATTCTACATATGTACCTTACATTACATAAATTTAATTTTCATCACCCACCTACCCACAAAAATATGGGTTGATAAGTCTGGTTCCCCGACTTATTGACCCACTTAACATTGTGTTTAGTTAATAGATTTAGTAGTATAATAGTTAGTGTTTCTAATATTAATATTGCCCACCAGTAAGTTGATTAAATTAAGCGATTTGATGAGTAAAAATTTTAAAAAATGAGGATGAGAAAAAGAAAACTTTCATACTTGGTTTAGAAACTTAAAAAGAGAAATAGAACGTTCTTATTTATGTCAGTTTCATTTCAAACCAAAAGTTGTGAATATACAAATTGATTGTGTATTTTTCATACTATCGAGATCATTTATCAAAATACAAAAGAAACAAAGAAAATTTCACTCATATCTCTGTTACGCATGTCATTCATCAAAACACAAAGGAAACAAAAGAAAATCTCACTCATATCTCTATTACACATGTCTTTTTTTTTTTTTTTTGATCAGTAGAAATCCATTAATGGAAGCCAAAAACGGCATTTACAAGGGCCATCAAACGACCAAGCTTACAACAAAACAGAGAAAAGAAAATTACAAGAAGCACTTTGAAGAAAAAATATGAAAATATTCAGACGCACATCATGTGCTTGGGCTCATACTGCAAAAGCAAAGCCGATCAAAATCGACAGTAGAGCCTGTCTAAAATAAATCATATATTTCAACCACAAAGTTTGAAAAGCCACAATCTAAGCACAGATGACCCCAAATCCACAAGCAAAAACTGAGGAAAAAAAAAAAGGACTTCCATTCCAGGATCCATGGCAAATCTGATGATGGGGAGGTGGTAGGAGGAGCAGATCTAATGCCCAACATACTTAGGAGACGGACGATCCGACAGATTTGGTAGGGTGGAGGCGGCACGGACGGAAGACGGAGGATGAGATTGGCAGATCCAGTGAGACCCTGGTTGGGGAAGTCTGAGAAGAATGAGAATGAAGAGTAGAGTTCTACCAAGATGGGGAAAAGGACCTCACATGGAGAGAGAAATGGAAAGACTAAGCTTCCAAAGTATTATTGAGCCAAAAAGGACAATAAAAACGAAAGAGATGAGGGGCAAAAATGAGGGGAGAGGCTGCCAGAGATCGGAGCCCCCCTCTCCTGCCCCGAGCAACGCCTTCAAAGAAACCCTAGGAGAGGTAGAGAGAGAAGTGGGAATTGGTAATGTTTGTGCCCTATTACACGTCATTCATCAAAAAAAAAAAAAATACTCATATCTCTATTACACGTGTAATTTTTTTTTTATTCATCCAAATATAATAATAAGAAAGCATAACTATTTTTTTTCTTTTTCTTACCTAAATAAAATAACACAACGTTTCTCAAGCTAATATAATAATAATATATGAGATAATAAATCCGTTATAATATATAAGTGTAATTATATATTATAACATTATTATAAATATATATAGCTCCAAAAGCTATTTTACTTTATGATTCTTCACATCCTCCACGGGCGGCACCATTACAGACAATGCACCTTGCTTCGGTGACAAACCTGCAATATTAATAAAAATTTATTTAAAAAATAAATAAAATCTTGTAAAATTAGTTAGTTGGCTCACGTTTAAAAATCCTATTTATTCATAAATATTTTATCTTATTCTATGATTGATTTTTGTGTTTCTAGATCTATGTTTTTAATTAGGGGTGAGAATTATATCGTGTCCTATTTATGTCTATCATCTTGTATTCGTATCATAATTTTTTAATAACAAATTTATTTTTTTGAGTTTTTGTCGGAATCACGTTGTGTTAATGTGTCATATTAAACAATTTCACAAATTAAAAATATCAAATGTATGTAAATATCATTTTTTACAATTTAAATTTCATGGAACTGACATTTATTAAATGAAATTCTTCATAAAAATATTTAATTTCAAACTCAATTTTGTTTTAAAAAAATAAAATCCTCCATTTTTTTACATCAAATTATTGGGAAATAAAAACATCATATTGATGCTAAGATTATATTTTACATATATATTTTTTATTTTAGTCAATGAAATTGCATAAGAAATTTAAACATGTCATGACACTATTTGATAAAAACAATATTGAAAAGGGTAACTAATCCTTCTTAAATAAATTTTTTTTTTTTTTTTGATGGTCTCCTTAAATAGATTATAAGTGTCAATTTTGCGTCATATGAGTTCGGCACTAATTTAATTAATTTATTAAATTTTAAGTTAATTTTTATGGGGTTTACATGGTTGAATTTACGACAAATCAAAAGTTAACCCATATGTTGCAACTTTCTAATCATGGAAAAAATTGAGATACTTGAATTGTGAGTCTCAATATTGTGTTTAGTTTAATTTTTAAAACTTATTTTTAATTCACAAACATATTTAGAAAGTAAAATATGAATTTTTTGTACTTAATAATTTTTTAATAAATATTTTATTTTTGTTAGATAAACTTAAAAAGTCAATATATGAATTTTTGCACATAATTTTTTTTAAAAAAAATAATTAAAATACAAATATTAAAATATTAAAAAAAACTATTAAAAAATTGAATTTCAAAACCAAATAGAAAAACAAAAAATAAATAAATAAATGAAGCTATATGCACCAATTGATATATCACTTACTGTAGTAACGGATGATGTGGCATAATTTTATTTTATGCCACTATAGTTTATATAATTAGCAGTTGACCCATGCAATACAAGTGCTATTTTTTTTTCAAAAAATATTTAACAGTACAATGTGTGTTATAAAAGAATAATTTTATTTTTAATTTAAAATTAAAATTAAAGTATGATTTTAATTCTTTATTTTGATAATATTGACGTCATCGTTCTATAAAATTGTTACTTGAATACTTATATATATTAATTTTAGTTAAATTATATATATTAATATAGGAAAGAAAATATAATTTGATATATAGAATCACTATAAAATTTAAACGACAAATTCATAATATATAATAATATATAATTAGTATTGGGTAAGAATAATGCACAGAAAAATAAGAAGAAAAAAAAAAGAGCAATTTAGTATTAAAAAAAATCTTTATACCCTTGAAAGAATTAAAAAGAAAAACGTAAAACACAAAATTGGCATTGGATTTATGGATTATCTCAATTTACGATAAAAAAATATATGAAAAGAAATATTTGTCAAATAGAATCCATATAAAATAAGTTAAGTTACTATAATTTACATTAGGTTTGGATTTGTGTAGAACTCTATATGTAATTAAGAAAATATATACTGGCGTGACTCTCATAGAAAAAGTAAACCCTTATAATGTGTCACCTAAGTATGGAAAAAACATTACTTTTAATAACATATTAGCAGTTGACCCGTGCAATGTACATGTTTTTTTTTTTTCAAAAAATATTTGATGGTACAATGTGTGTTATAAAATAATAATTTTAATTTTAATTTTAATTTAATATTAAAATTAAAATAAAATTGTAATTATTTATTTTGATAATATTGGCACTATTGTTCTATAAAACTATTATTTGAATATTTATATATTTATTAATTTTAGTTAAATTATTTGTGTATTTTAATAATTTTAGTTTTATCGTACTATAAAAATATAATTATTATATAATAATCTTGTATGATATATATTGAATTATAAAATAATAAAATAAATATTCATTTCGATATTAAAAATAATAGTTAAATTAGAAGAAGAATTAGTAACATAAAATTAAAAGTAATTCCAACAATTTAATTTTCTTTTATATTCATTTGGAAAATAAAATATGTAGAAATAGAAATCATATAAAATTTATTTAAAAAAATTAAATATAAATATGTTATAGTTGGATTATCATATAATGATTAGTTTGAGTTAAACTTGGTAATTTAATCTAATGAAACAATTAGTGGCCTAAACTGATTAGTCCCTGCAACAACAACAATAACAACAACAACAAAAAGAGGATGGAGAAAGACGGAGAAAGTTGGAAAGGAACTTTCTTCTTGAGAGTTAGAATAGAAAGTTAGAAAAAAAAAAAAAAAAGAAAGAAATAGAAATCGGGGGAATTCAAATTCATCTATTCGAACTTGAGAATTGAACACTTATCTTAATTAAATTAAAATATCAATTATATAAAAGAAATTCAACAATAACTTAACAAAGAAAGAATCACATAATATCTAAACCAAAAAAAAAAAATTAATGAAAACATCCGAACGGTATATATATATCTCGGTGTATAAAATGATTAATCATTTGTAATATGATATAAAAACATAAAAGAACTTATTGTTCAACAATTGAAAAAGTAACTTGAGCAGTAAATCTAAATTTTAGAGGTTCTTTGAGAGTATCATTGTTGTGAAAATTTTTCTTCCTGTAAATTGTGATTATATAAAATAATATATAAAATAAATATAATTTTACATATAGAATCATTACAAAATTTAAAAGACAAATTCATAATATAGAATAATATAGAATTGGTATTGGGTATAAAATAATATACGGGAAAATAAGAAGGAAAAAATGAAGGCAATTTAACATTAAAAAAATTCTAATACCTTTGAAAGAATTAAGAAGAAAAATGTTAAACGCAGAATTGGTATTGAGTTTATAAATTTTCTCAATTTACTATAAAAATATATAGAAATGAAATATTTATCAAATAGAATTCATATAAAATAGGTAAAGTTAATATAATTTAAATTAGATTTGTGTTTATATACAATTCTATATATAATTAAGAAAATACATATTGACATAACTCTTTTAGAAGGAAAAAAAAAAATCCTTCTAATATCTAAAAATAAGGAAGAAGAAAACCAGGAAGAAGAAGAAGAAGAAGAAGAATAAGAAAGAAGAAGAGGAAAAAGAAAACCAGCAAACCCGGCCTCATGTCCTTCTTCATCCGTTTCATCCGTGCTCCTCTCCGCTGCTTTCTTTCTTCACAGTGAATCCCATTAATGGGTTCTTCCCTCTGTTCTTCTTTTTTTCCATTTTTTTTTTTCTTGAAAAGTTGCCCCAAAACGACGTCGTTTTGGGGCGCTACAGGAAAAAATCACGGGCAAAAGCGACCGAGGATCCGGATTCGTAACAAAAAATGGTAGAAGGGCGGGCGAACCGAAAGAATCATCAGGTTTGGGGGCGAGAGGGGACATTGGGGGAGATGATGAGCCCTGAATCTGGGAGCAACAGAGAAACACTGAGGATCGCCCACTTCTCTCCCCGAAAATCGCAGAGAAAAGTCCATCGCGCCGAGTGCTGCTGCTGATAATACCACTATGACCACCACCAGATTCCTCTTTATTGATCTTCTTGTTTTTATTTTCATTCAAGTTAAGATTTGCGCAACAGAGCGTCAGTGTCTGCCGCCTTTTGTCTTTCCGATCCTTCATCGATGATGAACACTAAACTCAACACGACCACCACACCAAATTCATAATCTATCAGTATGGATTAGATTACATACATATATATATATATATATATATATCTGTTTACTGTTTATGGGGGGGAGAGAGAGAGAGAGAGAGAGAGAGAAAAGAAATCATTGAAAGAGAGTTATAGTTACCTTTTCACACTGACTCCAAGTGTGCCTTCTTCTTCTTCAATGATTTTGCTTTGCTTATGTTCTAAACATGGAATAAATTGGCTATTTAAAGAGAGATTTGGCTTAGTTAGACTTTGAGATTAAAAAAATGTCAATCTTGAATTTCGATGAAGATGATTGAGAAATGCGCGTTAGCAGGATTACGACAGGATTGGCCACCACCGCTTGTTTAGTTTATCAGAGTTTTTTTTCCTTAAAAAAAAAACACTACTCGCCAGCCTTTTTAGGTAGTTTAGGTGCCGTTTGGTAACATTTACGTTTTTAATTTTTTGTTTGTATTTATAAAAATTTAAATAAAAATTTGTTTGGTAAATTTTTTATTTATAAATCAGTGATCTCAGTTTATAAATTTGACTAAAAAATGCAAACTCAAAAAATGCGTTTTCGTTTTGAGTTTTTAGTTTTTTTTTTTTACCACCCAACACTAGCCACCAACCATCATCATTTTCCACCACCGTCTTCCGCCACCACCCCCACCACCACTCACCACCCACTTGCCACCACCACCATCCACCACTCGCCACCACCACGCACCCACCACCACCCACCTGCCACCCACGCCGCCACCTCCACGCCACCCGCCACCACACACTACCATCCACCGCTCGCCACCACCACTCACAACCACCTGCCACCCACATCTATCGCCAGCCCACCAGCCAGCTCCACCCACCAGCCACCATCACCCACCACCATCACCCACCACCAGACAACCACTACTACCACTACCCACCACCCACCACCACCACCACCTGTCACCGTCACCCATCCACCCACCACCACACAGACCCGCCCACTGCCACCACCACCCGCCACCACCACCCACCATCACCACTTTCCACCACCGTCTTCTGCCGCCACCACCCGCCACTTGCCACTACCCGCCACTTTCCACCACCGTCTTCTGCCACCACCCCCCACCCACCCGCCACTTGCCACCACTTTCCACCACTGTCTTGTGCCACCATCACACACCACCTGCCACAATTTTCCACCACCGTCTTCCGCCACCACCACCCGCCATCATTTTCCACCACTGTCTTCTGCCGCCACCACTCGTCACCACCCGCCACCACTTATCATTTCTCACTCTTTTTTATATTTTTAAACTTTTTTAAACATTTTGTCTATACCAAATACGTTTGTAGTTTATATTTTTCTAAAAATAAACAAAAATCAGTTTATAAAATTTTTGTAAATATAAACTAAAAACGTAAACGTTACCAAACAGACCCTTAGTTTTTGTTAATTTAATTAAGTCACTTCGATCACAAGCTATATAAGTTGAAACTGTATTAAAATAGAAAGGTAAATTATAAAGACGTTCTCAGATTTGCATAAAATATAAATCATTTTTATAATTTAAAAAATTATAAATATTTCTTTGTTATAATTTTTTATTTAACAAAATTAATGAAGAAAATATAATTTATAATTACTCTCTTATGAGGGAAAAATATGGTCTGGATTGGGCCATGGTAATACCAGGTAAATTGTGGGCCGAACACATTTGAGCCGTGGTATCCCAGGTCCACCCAAAAGTGATTTTTGCTCGGCAATGGCAAGGGCATATGGAACCGGGCTACTTCACCTTGTCGGCACGGAGGCCGATCAAGTAAGGGTTCCACGGTTTATGCGTTGCGCGATTGGAAAGCACGCATCCATAGCTCGGCGTGAAGGCTCATGCTTGAAGCTCAGCAGAAAGGACTTTGGTTGACCGGTATGACCAATCTCAAGCTTGGCTTCGCCGGAATGCAGTTGAGCATGGCTGGAAAGGAGCTCGATTGTTGGGGGCACCTGGGCATGAAACGCAACATGGCCATTGACAGCCGAGATGCTACAGCCCAGCTGCTGAGCTCCCAATGCAGTGGGCTGGCAGTCGGGTTAGGTGATGTTCAGCAAGATTTGTGCTGACATATGGGATAGCAGAACCACGTGTCGAGAGATCACTGGGAGTAGATTTAGGGCGTAGAAGGTATATAAGCAAGTCTGCGCCCCCCATGCTGGACACACGAACATTTGGTAAGAGAAATACTTACACTCAACTCAGTCCTCTCTCTCTCTCTCTCTATCTCTGTGTGTGTGTCTAACTTGATCGTCGAAGGGGTTTTTCGGCCACACACCGCCGGGTAGCTCACTGCTATTATACACGCAGGTGATCGGACAGAAACGGAGCTTGAAAAAAAAGAATACGGGCTCGCCTGAATATTTGCTCCCCGTATAATTGGCGCCGTCTGTGGGAAGTTTGCAGACAAAACCTTGTCTTCCAGGCTCGTTTGATCACCGTCTATAGCAAACAACGAAGAGATTCCGCTGTCCGCCGTCGACGGAGTTACCCCGGAGTCGGGCAGACGGAGAGAAGGGCATCCCACCATCGTTCCTCCGATGGCGGACCTGGAGACTTCTCCAGGAGGACATTCAAGAGATGTGCGGGATAAGCGCTGAAGAAGTTATGGTCATTCACGGAGTCCAGACGGTCATCGGCGGTGGAGAGAATCACATGCTAGACGTCTGGAACACAAGTTAAGGGACCAGGATGCCGTCATCCAGCGAATGGCGGCGGAGATGGAAGAGCTGAAATGGCATGTTAAAGGGAAGGGTGTAGCTGGAATGGGAGACCACAGTGAGCGCACCCAACCCCGCCGTTCAGGCAGTCAGAGTCAGCGACACACTGCATCCATTTCCATCACCAGAAGTTACAAGGTTGGAGAGTCCGACCTGCACGAAGAGAAGTCCAGTGCGCAAGACAGCACCTATCGACCCTCACGTCCGGCGACGATGTCAAGGTATTCTTATTCCGCTCGTTCAGAGGATTTGTGGGTAGTCTTGAAGGAACGAGCTCTCCGGCAGAAGGCTCAGAGGGTGCCGGCGTTCCAGCAGCTATCCTATGGGGTTCACGCCAGTGAGGAGGTCGGAATGCCTCCACCCCGCCAAGCAGTGCCACTCCTTCTAAATACAGACTTGGCAAGGCTGAGCGCCACCCCTTTCTCCTTGGAGATAGAAACGACACCGCTTCCGACAGGCTTCTACTAGCCTAAATTCACACTCTACGACAGGAAAACCAATCCCTACATGCATGTGAGTCACTTCCGACAAGTCATGGCCGGGCATAGGCGGAATGACGCACTTATGTGCCTTATCTTTCCGTCAAGTTTAGGCGAATTGGGCTTGAAATGGTTCGAGAGGTTGCCGGAGGGGAGCATAGAAAGGTGGCATCAGTTGGCTGAGGCCTTTATGACGCGCTTTAAAACCAACACGAAAACACCGAAGGAAGTTGACCACCTACTGAGTGTCAAAATGGAGTCGTGCGACACATTGAAGTAGGGTTGTGCAGCGGATGACCCGGCCCGCCATAACCGCCCGACCCGACCCGACCCGACCCGACGTCAAATGGGTGGATGCGTGGTACCTGGCGGACGGGTGCGGGCTGAATATTTTAGGGTTTTCGGGTTCGGGTCGAGTGGCGGGTGATTCGTCATTTTACTCCGCAAACCCGACCCGCCCATGCCTTTCTTTTTTCCTTCATTTTTTTCCCCCAAATTTATACACGCATCAGTCCCCTTTTGTTTAGAATTGGCCCTAATTCCTTCACAGACCAACACGCTGAGACTCTCTCTCTCTCTCTCTACCCTACCCTACCGTCCGACGGTAACCTCCGGCCGACGATCTACACTGAACGACCGACGATCTACACTTCTGATCGACGATTTGCTTGCACTGAACGATGATCGATCTACTCCACTGAGGTATCTCTCTCTCTCTCTCTCTCTCTCTCTCTCTCTCTCTCTCTCTCTTTCTACTACATTTTTCTCTCTCTTCTACCATTTATCTGAAGAGTGGAGTACAGACCTTGAGTGAGTTGGGTGATCAAGTGTGTGTTTTTTTTAGACTGAAATGGGAAGAGCACCTTGCTGTGAGAAAGTGGGGTTGAAAAGGGGGAGATGGACTGCAGAAGAAGATGAGATCTTGACCAAGTACATTCAAGCTAATGGGGAAGGTTCTTGGAGGTCTATGCCCAAGAATGCTAGTGAGATTTTCTACTCTTCTTTACATTTCACTATATCAAACTTATATATGTAAGTTGAGAGGGTTGCTTTTCGTCTTTGTCTTGTCAATATAAGTTTTCAATAGAGGGAAATAGATTGACAAATATTTCGTATCTCATTATGATTTGATTTTGGGAACTTTTTCTTTCTTTGTTTGGCTTTGGCCAAACATCACTTTGTAGGTTTTGACCAAATTATGAATCTTGCAATAAATTAAGTTACCAATTTTTTAATTTTTTTTTAAATTATTTTTTAGTTGAGGAAAGCTACCAAATTTTGTTGGTGGATTCTTTAGGCTCAATTCATGGTAGATAATAAGGTCAATCCACTACTGTGAAGTGAACATTTGTCAATTCTCTCCAATTACGTTGTTGCAACGATGGTTTTTTTCTTCTTCTTTTTTTTTCCTATTATATATATATATATATATTTTTTAATTTTAGTAATTATATAATACTTATTAAAAAATATCCAATAAAGTTGTGATTAGAAATTGTTTTTAAGAACCACAACTGAAATTATTTTTAAGTATCATTCTTTATTTTAAGTCTTTTTCAGAATCTTAGTGAAATTCTTTGTGGTTTTAGTTGAGTTTCATGTGTGATTAAGTATGAGATCATTTGGCTCAAAGTGGTATAGCTTGAACCATGATTGTCTAGAGTGATTTTTCGTAAAATGTTTTCAAAGTAATTTTTTAAATGACTGAGAATTAATTTTGACAAAATTGAGGATATCTAATTATTTGACCTTCCAACTCTCAAAACCTAATCTTATTACTTTGCAATCACTTTACGAAAAATCACTTTAGAGGATCCTGACTCGTATGGCTTACCGGTGAGACTTTTGAAGCAACATGTTTTGAGTTCAAGTCTCCTTAACTTTGCTTGATATATACTTAATAAATATTTTATGGTTTTAGAAATAACAATAAAATGATAAGAAGATTACTCTGATGAGAAAATTGCATATGATGGCATATGAGAAAATTGCATATGGCATATGAAAATCATTTGATCTTCAATGTCTCTGATGAATGGTCGAGCCCATGTGTGCTTAACCTTATTGTAATTTGCTTGTATACTCTGTCTTACATATTCTATGCTATAAAAAAAATGCAATACAATTTAGATTTGGTATGTCACAACAGCAATGCAATAGCTAAGCAATACAATAGATTGGTATGTCTTATATTTTTTATTTATGGTTTTGAAGGGTTACTTAGGTGTGGGAAAAGATGCAGACTGAGATGGATTAACTACTTGAGATCTGGCTTGAAGAGAGGCAACATATCTTCTGAAGAAGAAGAAATCATCATTAAATTGCACTCTACTTTGGGCAATAGGTTAGTGCAGCATTCCCTCATTATCTTTCCAACAAAAAATCTGTACACATAATCTATGATGTGAATTTTGAAAAAAAATTTATTGAAATTTGAGATTAGATTTTTTTTTTTTGTATGTCAAAAATTTGTAAAATTTCAAACCGCCAAACCGATTCGCATCCATCCGCTAATCTGCCAATCCGCCAAATCCGCATCCGCCGGATTGGCGGACGGATGGCGGATTGGAGGGTTCGTGGCCGCAACCGATCCGCGCCCACCCCTACATTGAAGGCATACAACTCCAGATATTGGGAGACCTTCAACAAGATTTTGGATTGCCCGGTCAACCTTGCAATCACACAATACAAGCGAGGTCTCCCGATCGGACATAGACTGTAGGACTGGCTTACCATGCACCAGCCGACATCCATGGGCCAGCTAATGCAACGCATCAATGAGCACATCCATGTGGAGGATGATGTATCGGCATCTAGCGCGAAAACAACACCGGTAGTAGCAGACAAGAGGTCAGTTGGCAAAGTGCACGCGGTCGGGCAGGAGTCCGGCTGATCCAGCGACCGCACTAAGGAATCAGACCGTGGCGCTAACCGCAAAAAATGGGGTAGGGGACGTCGGAACGACCAGGATGACTACCCCCGGGATGACGTAGCCGATGCAAACAGAAGGTTAAAAGCAAGGACAGGCATCACCACGGTCTTTAAGATTCCAATCTATCGCATACTTAGTGAAATCTGTGACGAGAAGTATGTCCGATTTCCTGCTAAGTTAGGCGACGGACAGAAGGGCTTCAATCCAAGGTACTATTGCACGTTTCACCGAGAGTGAGGCCACCGAACAGAGGATTGTTTGCCTTTGAGGCAACACTTGGAAGAGCTAGTCGCAGCCGGACACTTGGACCTTTACATTGATGGCGGCGTGAAGGCCAATCAAGCTCCGGTTGACCCGCGGGGACCGGATGATCGAGATGCGCCTCCCCAAGGGGTTATTAATGTCATCCACGGCATAGTGGAACCGGCGCGTGTATGCGAGCTCCGAGGAATGATCAAGAAGGCAAAACACATGAGAAAAGTTTTGTCGGTTCAGCCTGCGATCAAAAGGGGGAAGACCGAAGAGAAAGACGTGATCAGTTTCTACTCAAGAGACCTAGAGCACATTCAGACGCCGCACAACGATGCCCTAGTGGTAACACTCCGCATCAAAGAATTTGATGTCAAACGGATCTTGATCGATCAGGGAAGCTCGGTCGAGATCATGTACTACGACGCTTTCAAACAGCTCAAGCTCCGGGATACAGATTTGGCCCCGGCAACTTCGCCACTGGTTGGTTTTAACTCACAACGGGAGTGGCCTTTGGGAAAGATTATCCTGCCAGTCAAAGCGGGATCCATGGTCAAACAAGTGGAGTTCTGGGTGTTGCATGTGCCATCCACTTATAATTTGATCCTTGGAAGGGGATGGCTTCACGCTATGCAAGCCGTAGCGTCGACCTATCATCAGGTGATGAGATTCCCCTCGGTTATGGGGGCAATCGAGGAGATTTGGGGCGATCAAGTCATGTCGAAGCAATACTTCGTGGCGTCAACGGGAGCCGAGCTACCAAAGGCTTCGTTCAAATGAATGAGGGACCAGAAGACCGGGGAGTCCTTGACGATGTGGGCACCAAGGCCGAGGACAAAGCTGTCGAGGAATTGGTGGAAGTGCGCATTGATACAGAGCATCCAAACAAGTTCTTCTTGCTCGGCTCAAGCCTTACAGCCCAAGAAATGACCGATATGGTTGAATTTTTGATGGCCAATATCGAAGTCTTCGCATGGTCACCTTACGACATGCCCGGTCTCGATCCAAGTTTTATATGCCATCATCTCAATGTCTCCCCCGGAGCAAAGCCAGTCATTCAGCGCACAAGGAGATCGGCGCTATATCAAGTCGAGGTAGTTGCGGAGGAAGTGAAGAACTTGCTTGAGGCGCGAGCAATTTAGGGAGTGCACTACCCTCGGTGGATTTCAAACACGGTCGTGGTGCCAAAGAAGAATGGGAAGTGGCGAGTTTGCGTTGACTACAAGACCGTCAACCGAGCTTGTCCGAAAGACAGCTTCCCTCTGTCTAGAATAGACCAGCTTGTGGACTTAACGGCTAGACATAACAGGCTCAATTTCTTGGACGCCTACCGCGGCTACCATCAGATTGCCATGCATGGGCCCGATCGAGAGATCACCTCGTTTACTACACCAAGGGGACTATTCTGCTACCGAGTCATGCCTTTTGGTTTGAAGAACGCCGGGACAACTTTTCAAAGGATAGTGACCAAGATGTTCGCTCCTCTACTAGGCCGGACAATGGAGGCCTATATTGACGATATGGTGGTTAAGAGCCGGCATCAAGCAGACCATTTGTCCGATTTGGCCGAAATGTTTGCCATTCTCAAAAAGCACAAGCTACGCCTGAATGCGTCTAAGTGTGCCTTCGGCGTGGGATCCGAAAAATTTTTGGGTTTCCTAGTCACGAACCGAGGTATCGAAGCAGACCCTACACAAATCCGAGCTGTGCAAGAGCTAAAACAGCCTAGCTCGGCTAAGGATGTGCAACATTTGGCCAAAATGGCCGCCGCACTTAACCGATTTATAAGCCGGTCATCAGATCGCTGCCGCCCTTTTTTTTCAAGCCTTGAAATCAAAGTTCTCATGGGATGAAGAGTGTGACCGGGCTTTGGCCGAGCTCAAGGAGTATTTGTCTTCCGCGCCATTGTTGGTCACACCGAAACCCGGAGAAGAACTTTACCTTTATCTGGCCGTATCGCAGCATGCAGTCAGTGTAGTGCTTGTCTGGTCGGAAGGAATCAAACATCTACCCATCTTCTACGTCAGCAAAACCTTGCTACCGGCAGAGTCGAGGTACTTGCCCCTGGAAAAACTTGCGTTAGCGTTGATGATGGCTTCAAGGAAGTTGGCACACTATTTACATGCTCATACCATCATCGTCTTGACCGAGTTCCCTCTCAAAGCTTTGTTCGAACGGGCAGACTTCTCTGGTCGGATTCTTAAGTAGGCGGTCGAATTGGGACAGTTTGATGTGAAGTTCCAGCCACGCACAACCATAAAAGCCCAGACTTTGGCCGATTTCGTTGTTGAATTCTCACCTAGGACTCATCCGGTATGCCCGGTCGATATTGCCATGGCAAATGAAGAGGTGAATGCAAGCTCGACCGAAATACCACAGCTAGGCGGCATTGGCGATGCGGAACTTGTGCGCCCCGCCGAAGCCCCTTCAGTTAATATGATACTACAGCCCGGTGATGTGATGATGGAGTTGGCTATCACTGACCAACCCGCTTTGTCCGACACCACATCACCGAGAAGGGAAGAAATGGAACCGCTCAGCACAGAACCTGCGGCCGGCATAATACCGCAACCTGGCGATTCGCCTATGGACTTAGGCATTGTGGATCAACTTGCTGAGTCCAGCGCCGAATCACCAAAGGGGGCTGAAGTGGAACCGCTCAGCACGGGACCGGAAGCCGAACAGTCGAGCAACCGTGATCCCATTAACCTTCAAGCTTCTCAGGACCCCTCAGAGTGTTGGAAGCTCTTTGTCGGCGAAATGTGAAAACTTTTTGTTGATGGCTCCTCGAACCGCCACTGTGCCAGGCTGGGTATAGTTCTGATTTCGCCAGACGGACTGACTATAGAACATTCTATCACTCTTGGCTTCCAAGCATCCAACAATGAGGCCGAGTACAAGGCGCTATTGGCCAGTCTCAAGAGTGCGCTTCAGATGCAAGTATCCGAACTAATGGTTTACAGTGATTCCCAGCTTCTGGTTTACCAAACTTCTGGGGTTTACGAGGCAAAGGATGACAGAATGATGAAGTACCAAGCTCTGGTCAGAGACCACATCAAGCAATTTCAAGCGATCAGGGTCCAACAGATTGGCCGAGAAGAAAACAGCCGAGCAGATGAGTTGGCCGGCCTTACTTCTATAGTCGACAGCACAACTCCCAACCCTCTTTTGATTGAATTCCTTCCGAGGCCCAGCATTGAGGAAGCCGGGCAGGCAGAAGTACTCTGCGCCGAGCTAGGTCCTTCTTGGATGGACTCCATAATCCTCTTTCTCAGAGAACGGACCCTTCCAGCCGACAAGAAGGAAGTGCATAAAGTGCGGGTGAAGTCCGAGCGGTTTTGGCTCTCTCCATCAGGTGCTTTATACAAGAAGTCTTTCACCGGTCCCTACCTGAAGTGTGTGCACCCGAGTAGCGTGGAAACCTTCCTTTACGAAATTCACGAAGGCATCTGTGGCAGTCATATAGGGGGCAAGTCCTTGGCCTACCGAGCTATTTCGCAAGGCTATTAGTGGCTGTGCATGCAAGCCGACGCCCAGAAATATGTTCGCAAGTGTGAGAAATGCCAGAAGTTTGCCCACTAGATCCGCCAGTCGGCCAGGGAACTTCTTCCCCTCACCAGCCCTTAGCCTTTCGCGATGTGGGGGCTAAATATAGTGGGGCCGCTACCAACCGCACTAGGCAATCGAAAGTTCTTCATCGCGGCCACAGACTACTTCACCAAATGAGTTGAAGCGGAGCCCTTAGCATCAATCAAGGAGAAAGACGTGAAGCGGTTTGTCTGGCAGAATGTGGTCACACGGTTTGGCGTCCCCAAAATTTTGATCTCTGATAACGGCACCCAATTTGACGGCCGCCTGTTTAGGGGGTTCTGTGAAGATTTGAAGATCGAATTCTACAACTCTACTCCGGCTTACCCGCAGTCCAACGGTCAAGCCGAGGCTTCGAACAAGACCATTCTTGATGGACTGAAGAAGAGGCTTGAGAAAGCCAAAGGAAAGTGGGCTAAGGAACTCCCCAGTGTCCTTTGGGCATACCGAACAACCCCGCGGCAATCTACCGGGAAAACTCCTTTTGCTTTGGCATATGGCATGGAGGCGGTCATCCCTTTGGAAGTTGATATGCCCACCCTCAGAAGTGAAAGTTTTGAGCCCGAGCTGAATGCCGAAGCCATGGCCTTGGAATTAGACCTAGTGGAAGAACGCTGGAAAAAGGCTCTTACCCATGTGG